CCCCAATCCCTGGGCGGAACAGATCATCTTTAAGACTCACCAGACCCACTTTGCCAACTGCACCCTGGCGGAGACCACCTTCTCAGACCCCCCAGAGGACGTGCTCCTGGCCATGATCATCGCCCCCATCTGCCTCATCCCGTTCCTGGTCACCCTTGTGGTGTGGAAGAGTAAAGACAGCGAAGCCCGGGCCTAGGGTGGCCTACGTTTCTCAGCAGCCACCCCTCCCTTCCCGGCCACCCCCAGATCTCCCTCCCCGTCTCCCTGCCCCCTTCTCTCGCCTCACTGCACACAGAGCCTGAGATGGGGGAATGGAGCTGGGGAGGGTCATGGCACCAGTTCTGCAATTTTCAAAATAAAAGGTTTCTTTTGTACACCGTCCTCCTCCCTATCCCAGTGGGGCCTGTGTCCCTCCCAGAACCTGTCATATCCACAGACCCCCAGCTCGGGGCAACAGAGCTGCAAGAATCTGATAGCCCCACTGTTTTGTTTATTTACCGGCCCCCACAGGCCTCCGCGGCACCCCCTCCAACCCCCCACCTGAAGGCTGCACTCCTACATTCCTCCCTCCCAAGGTGGGGCCTTTCCTGCCCCTGTCCAAACCCAGCTCCAGGAAGCCTGCAGGAAAAGACTCCCTTCCGGTCTGGACGGCCGCTGGGGAGGTGTGGGGGGAGGGGCGAGGGAGGGCTCTGGGCTGTGACTCCTACCAGAAGGAAGGGGGGCCACCCAGGAGTTCCGAATTTTCCCCTTCCATGTTTCAGTTCACTTCTAGAGACTTCCAACAGGAACTCTGATCTGACTAACTGGAGTCCACCCCTAAGGACCTCAGTCAGGATTGAGGGTAAAGGCAATGGGGGATCCCTCTGCTAGGTTCACCACAGGACTCCCCCTCCAGGTCCCTGGCCCTCATCCTACATTGTCCTGGACCCCGGGGGTGTGGCCTACAGCCTGGCTGCACACTGCCCCCTGGTGTCCACTAAACCAAAAAGAAGATGGTTGTGTGGTGGAAGAAGCTCAAAACAGGAGATTGGACCCTGAGGTCAGAGACCTGTCATCTCCATAGCAAACACTAGTTCTACCGGCTTCCTGAGTCAGACTTGGGCTCCCTTAAGACACTTTCCTACTGTCGACATAAGAAATGTCCAAACCTGTGGAGAATTTTTAAAAGAGTTTCTTTGAGGGGTGGTGGGGCTGGTTGGAGGTGGGCAAGAGGGGAGAAATGGGGGACATCTGTAATAGTGTGAACAATAAAAAGAAAGTTTAGCCCTGGCTGGTTTGGCTCAGTGGGTAGAGTGTCGGTCTGCGGATTGAAGGGTCCTGGGTTCACATGCCCGAGTTGCAGGCTCGATCCCTGGTGGGGGCATGCGGGAGGATGATTCTCTCATCATTGATGTTTCCATCTCTCTCTCCCTCTCCCCTCCTCTCTCAAATCAATAAAAATGTATTTGAAAAAAGATAAAATAAGAAATATATCTAAAAAATAAATAAAAATAAAGTTTGATCGAGTTTATTTGAGCCAAAACTGACGGCATATACTAGCAGCAAGCTCTCAAACGCTCTGAAGAATAACAGTTTTGCAGTTTCTTTCATGCATTTGAAACTAAGGAGGGGGTTTAAGGAAGATTATGTGAAGGTGGGAGACAGCAAGGTGAGGGTGGTTACATCTTAGAAGGAGGGGTTTGGAAGGAGGCATTTTCAAAGGTGTGCTAACCTGGATGCACAAAAACAATGGGCCTGGCTTGCTTAGGGCAAGAAATTTATATGCCTAGGGTGTGACTACCCACCATGACCTGCCCAGTTAGGAATTTATGATTTATTACAGCATCCCTTTTTTATCCACACCACTTTCTGGGGACATATTTAGTCTCTGACCCAACATTTTGGCATATGGACACTCTGGTGGGTCCCCGGGACAGTGAGGCTCAGTTCTCACCAGAGAACCTTCACCTCCAATTTTCCTTGGAACAAAGGTCATCAAAAATACCTAGAGAACAACTTTGCTTTCCATAAAGACACCCGTTTATTCCGGGTGGCACCTAAAGCCTCTTCAGGAACTTCCTTCACTCCTTGTTGAAATATCTGCCTCCCTGAGAACATACATATCCGTGTCCTAGACATGCCTGTCTATTCCATAGATACATATGTGTTTGCTTTCTGGAATGTATCTATTCATTCTCTGAGACACACTTCTCCTCTCAGGATGTATTTGTCTCTCTAGAGACACACCTGTGCCCTTGGACATTTTGAGTTTTCACCTGAGATAAATCTTTGTTGTTTTCATGAATGTGTATGTCTCCTCCAAGGATATATCTCTGCTTTTCTTGGCCCATATTTGCCTTCGTGCATTTTGCTAACATACATCAAAGGCATGTTGGTGTAAGACATTGTATGGCACATTCTTTTGAAAAAGGAAGTTAGCTAAGACTTGGTTTCTGCCCTCAATGGCTTTTATCCAGTAAGGGAGTGGACATGTGCAAATAAACAAAAACAATGGAGTGTGTGATGAAAGTCATGCAAAGAATACAAGCCAAATGTTTGTACAAATGCAAAGGAAGGAAGGGTCACATCTAACAGAGGGGTGGTCACAGGGGTTAGGATCACAGGAGGGTGATTGTAGAGTTGTTACATGAATTGACGGTAGATGGAGTGCATTCCCCTAGAGGAGAGAGTAGAAAGGGAGATGAATCAGGAAACTATTGTAATAATACAGGCTTGAGAAAAATAGGACATGGACCAAAAGTGTGATGAATGGAGAAATGAAAAATAATTAAAAAGTAGGAGAGATAATTAAAAACAGGGGAGGGAATCAACAGGATTTGGATATGAAGTAGGTGACAGACAGAGAGACTAGAGCTGACTCAGGCTTTGAACCTGAGTTATTTGGACAATGATGGAAGTAAGAACAGAAAAAGGCCATTAACAGGAGGTAGCCTGAGGAAAAGGATATGCAATATGAGGTAACAATGGAACAAGCTGTAATATCCCACAGTGAGTTAGAAATGGGAGTGGTGAGGGTGGTGGTAGAAAGAGGGTGGGGCTGGAAACACAGGTTTAAGAGTATTCTGCACAGAAATGTCATATAAATCCATGAGAGGGATGAAAGTTTTAAGAGAAGGTGTATTGAAAAGAAGACTGAAGTTGGGTTCTTAGGAAACACCCATAATTAAAGAATGAGGTGGGGGGAAAGGAGACAAAGTGAAAGATCAGAGAGACAGTAGCAAACCAAGGATAAAGTAGTGCCCTGGAAGCAAAGGAGATGGTGCCCTTTGAAAAAACAGTATCAATTGCAAAGTTCATTCATTCATTCAACAAATATTTGTTGGGTACTTCTGTGAACTAGGAATTGTGCACAGTGAAGAATGGATTTTGGTGGGGAAGATGTTAGAGATCAGACAAGAAATTGAGAGAGTGGTAAAGTCAAGGACACTACATATTTTTTAAAATATATATTTTTATTGATTTTAGAGAGGAAGAAAGAGAGAGAGATTGAGAGAGATTGAGAGAGAAATATGAATAATGAGAGAGAATCATTGACTGGCTGCCTCCCACACACCCCTTAATAGGGATTGAGCCTGAAACCTGGGCATATGCCCTGACCAAGAATTAAACTGTGAGGGCACGTGGGCTGTTTTCAGATACTGGCTATTGTAAATAACACTGTAATGAACATAAGGGTGCATATATTCTTTCAGATTAGGACACAACATATTTTCAAATAGGGATGACTTCAGCATATTTGTAGACTAGCAGAGAGGAGGCAGGGGAAAGGAGATGAGGGAAGATGATGCATACAGAAGTCCTGGAGGAAGTTGGAAAGGAGAGGCAAGAAGATACGCCAAAGGATTGGCCTTGTAAAGGAAGAGCAGCACTTCTTCCTTTGAGTCCAAAAGGAAGGAGTAAAAGAGAAGACTTTTTGAGAGACAAATCAAGTGTGTTGACAGATGGAGAGGGAAAGATTAATAAGTTCACATTCACGGGTGCAATCTCATAAAATAGAGGGGAAGGACATTCTGCAGAGAGGAGGAAAACAGGGACAGGTGACATGCTTGATGAGTGGACAACTTTGAAGAGTTACCTTGAGCGATGTGTCAGGGAGTCATTAAAAGACAAAGGGTTGGGAGCATTTGAGAGCTTGTTCCCCACCATATGTTGTCAGTTTGGTTCAAATAAACATATATATAAAGGGTGTATACTGATCAAGATTTCTCTCTCAAATCAGTTTCTCATTCTCTTTCTCTCTCCCTCACTCCCTCTCTCTAAAATCAATTTAAAAAAAATACAAAGGGCCACTGGGCTGCACTGAAAGTCCAGTCAAGAGGTTAGTCATGGTATCTGGGTCTCAGTCAGCATGTTCTGGTGATTTTTTTTCTAGGCATACTCCCCTGCCAAGGAGTGACACAAAGAGGGAGTGTGGGTGGGCAGGGACCAACAATCTGGTTTGGAAACTGACCAGCACGTAGGTAGACAAGGGGACAGAATTGAGTAGTCAAGTCTAGGTAAGGAGTCACGACCAAGAGGGCTCTGGAGCTTGAGACTAGGAAGGTGAGAACGGGAGAGAGATCAGAGATGGATGGCTGTGGTCAAGGATGGCTGCTCTGAACCATGGAAGCAGAGCCGTTTCCAGCTACAAGCATGTTCCCACGGGTGCTACAGGAGACTGAAGAAAGGTAGTCAAAGGACATAGGAATCGAAGAGATTGGGAAATGTGAGGCGTTTAACTTAAATGGCATTTGACACAAATGTCATTACTGAAAGAAGCCCAGCATAGTGGACACAATCCTAGGCTGGGGTCTGGGGACCTGGGGTTCTGCTTGCAGTTCTGAGAACAAACTATGCTGCTGTGAGGAAGTCATTGCCCTTCTCTGGGGTTGAGCCAGACTTCTCAGGGACCTTCTGCTCTAAACGGAAAGGATTTTTAGGATCATGGCAAGGGACTGGCAGAAGAGGAAGAGCCCTCCCTAGACTGTTCCTCTCCCCACAAGAAGGGTCCGGAACCTTTCTGCTGCGCTTTCTGCCCGGACGTGCGGAAGCGGAGACCGGAAGTCCCTCGCCGGGAGGTTCCGGGTTTCCTGGGCTACTACGATGGCGATGAGTTTCGAGTGGCCGTGGCAGTATCGCTTCCCGCCCTTCTTTACGTGAGGCTCAGCCCCCGCGAAGCCCCGCTGTGCCTCCCTGCCCTCCCCTGGCCCCGGGCTGAGCCCCGACCCTGCACCTGGGGAGGGGGAGGAAGGACTCGGTCGCCACCACTCTCAGCCTCTCATTTTCTCCCCGAAACGCGCCTCCGGCGAGGGCTGCCTCGCGCCCTCTCACTCCCCGTAATTCTGCACCCCACCCCTTCACCCGGCAGGTTGCAGCCGAACGTGGACACTCGGCAGAAGCAGCTGGCCGCGTGGTGCTCGCTGGTCCTGTCCTTCTGCCGCCTGCACAAACAGGCCAGCATGACGGTGATGGAAGCCCAGGAGAGCCCGCTCTTCAACAACGTGAAGCTGCAGCGTATCCTCCCTCAGCCTCGTCCACAGCCCCCACACCTGCACGTCCACACCTTCCCACATGCCCGGACTCCTCAGACACACACCCTTCACCCACAGGAGTCAGGTTCCTATCCACACTGGCCGTGGGAAAGAGCGAGTAGATGGAGCTGGCATCCATTTCATGCCCAAATCCAAATGCAGCAGCAAACCCGCTTGTCCCTGGCCGCGATGGGTACCCAGCTGTCATTCAGGTCGTAGAACCTCTGCCCCCGAAGCCAAGTCCCCACCTTTCCAGCCTGAGCCCCTTGGACTCTGAGTTTCCTGTTCTGGTCATTGTGAGGCTCAAATTCAGGTACTACCTATATTATTATTTTTTAAAAATATATATTTTATTGATTTCTTACAGAGAGAGGAAGGGAGAAAGATAGAAATATCGATGAGAGAGAAACATCGATCAGCTGCCTCCTGCACACCCCCTACTGGGGATGTGCCTGCAACCAAGGTACATGCCCTTGACCTGAATCGAACCTGGGACCCTTCAGTCCGCAGGCTGATGCTCTGTCCACTGAGCCAAACCGGTCAGGGCTGGTACTACCTTTAGTAACTTTCTCTACCTACTCCTATTCTCCCAGGAAGTAAGTGTCATTTGTTTTTGCTGCCTGATTCATGCCTAAAATATCTGCAGGAAGGAGAGCGGACAGAGGATGAGGAAACAGTACATTTCGTTTTGTCAAGCTCTTCCTTTAAATTGGAATAGTTTGCCTTTATCTTCTTTCCCCCAGTGTCTAAGAAATGCCAATTTATTAGTATATCCCATTGGGGAACGGCACGTATGAGTATGTGGGAGGGAGTGGTGGGGGGCAGGTGGTTCTCAGCATGCGACTGGCTCTGCGAATTTTTATCCCCCCCAGTTTATTCCATTAATGTCAATCCCTTAACCTTAAACCAGGGAAGCTCCCCATGGAATCAATCCAGGTTGTATTAGAGGAGCTGAGGAAGAAAGGTGGGTTCAATTCCTCAAATTTCTTATTTTTCCTCCTAGTTGGCTTTTCCTGAGGACAGATAAACACGAGACTTTTAATAGCTTTTCTCTCTCCCCTTGCTTGCAGCCCAGAGCTCTCGGTTCAGTAGACAGCCCGATTCCCTAGGTCCCTCCCCCATTGGTATACAAATTAAAATCTCTTCCTCTGTGCCCTGAGACCCGAAGAGACATAGAAGGAGAACGAGTGCCTTGCAGACAGCAGTAGTGAAACAGATTTTGAATTTCTCTTTCTGAAAGCTGAGTCTCTTCTACTCTGTTCTTCCTTGGTTTTGCCTCTTTGTCCCTTCTTAGAGCCGATGCTTTCATAAGTATCTGTTTTGCAGGGAACCTGGAATGGTTGGATAAGAACAAGTCTAGCTTCCTGATCATGTGGCGGAGGCCAGAAGAATGGGGGAAACTCATCTATCAGTGGGTGAGACTATTCTGCAATGACAAATAATGGCAAAGCAGATCTGTGTCTGTGCTCAGCAGGTACCTGGTGTTCCCAGATCCAGACTGAGCATAGTGGAAGGGGGCAGAAAGAGGAAGCCTAGGTCTTCCAGGCGAGATTCTGTCAGTGACTCAATTTCCATGGCTGCACAGAAGCTCCCTTTCTTTGCCTGTTGGATACCAGAGGCTACATGAGGCCATGTTTGGAGAATGCAGTACTGGGAACCACGAGTACTATTGTTGGCTGGAGCCTCTGGCCACAGGAGATAAATGGGGAAAGGAAGGGGGGGAAAAACACATGGGGCCGCTCCCCCACTGCACCCTTATGGGGCTGTCCACAATATGAATTCGATGTTCTGAACCAATATGGGTGTGGGGACAGACTCTGTCTCCCAAATTCCTAGCCACCACCGGCTCTAAACATTCCCAAGAGAGAAAGGAGGGTAAGAAGCATCAACAACCCAAATATAACAAATACATACCACCCATTCCTGAACAGGAAAACAACCAGAATGAGAGGTCAATCCTCAGACACGTGAAGACCTGTGGTTTAGTGGTTCCAAATGTGTGTGTACACATATAAATATAGCACCTGTATGGCTTGTGGGTTTTAGCCACTTCTCTGCAGAGGTGACAACCCTGGTTTGAGACTGGGTACCATTCCTGGGTCAGAGGTGGAGCTGCCAGTCACCTTCTCCCAAGAGATTCCTGGTCCTTATTCAATCCCCATTTTCTGTATCCATAGGTTTCCAGGAGTGGCCAGAACAACTCTGTGTTCACCCTATATGAACTGACCAATGGGGAAGACACAGAGGATGAGGGTAATGCCTTTCTCTTCCCCCAGTTTTGCCATCTGAATCCTCTCTCCAGTCCTTGTTTAATTGACATTCAGATTTCCCGCTTCTCTGCTTCTGAATTCTAAATACTACTTAACCCATAGCCATTATTTCCATAAGCCACCTGAATTCACATACAAAACACCCAAATTTTGTTTGTGGGGGGTATGTGTATTTTTCTAGGAATAGAGTCCATATTATCAGATTTTCAAGAGCATCTGTGACCCATGAAAAGTTAAAAATTAAGGGTGTAGCCACCAAATGAGGAACCAGGGCAGGAGATTAAGCTTGAAATCTCATTCCTTGCTGACTCAGGCTTTCTTTCACCCTTTATTCTTATAGAGGGCTCAAGCTTTGTGGGCCTTAGCTGAAGGGATTGGGCCAACACCCTCAGCCCTTTTAAATACTTTGTTTTCCAGCCAGGCAATGATTTGCATAGCGTTTGATTTTACATAGCTCTTTTATTTCTGCCTTCATATTCTGATCCCCAGGATCACCAAAAGCTCCCATTTTAGCTGGGGGGAAGGGGATGCTTCCCCTTTCTGCCAGGTCCTGACTGCCCCAACAGAGTTTATATAGCTCTTGGCTCTTTCCCCCTGCTCTGCAGGCCTCTGCTTGCTACTCCCACCATCACCTATGACTTCAGTGCTGCAGCCTTGCCCAGCTCACCGCTCAGGCTGGGCAAAGCTGGAGGCTTCCTCAGAAAGCAAATTTTCTGACTTAAGAGCTGGGCCCCCGCAGGGGATGATGTGTGCAAGCCTGTCAGGGCTTGCCTCCTGCCTCCCATCTCCCTGAAGTATAATGCCATATCTCCAGACACTCGGCTGGCCTTTGGCTCCCAGTCTTGTTCTTTTTATCTAGGAAAGGGCATATCTCTGTGCTGGACCTTAACAGTCTCCTGGCCAGATGTATGGCTATACTTCTTTGTGTTAGGACAGGTCCTCATGATGGGTACAGATGTGCAGCTAGGGTCAGTCAGGGACAGGGTCATGACCTCCCCTAGGCTTGATTGTCAAGGCCCCCTCTGGCTTGCAAGCAAATGGTGTCACTCTTGGGCATCAGACATATTTGGGGTGTACGTGGGGGTTGAATCTGATAGAAGAATCAAGAGTGGGAAAATTAGCATGAATACTCATTTTATGCTGACTAAAGCTTTCTTCTACCCCTTTCTTTTTTTTAATTAAGAAAATACTGATTTTAGAGAAAGAAACATTTATTTGTTGCTCCACTTAGTTATGCATTCATTAATTGCTTCTTGTATGTATCCTGACTGGAGATTGAAACCATAACCTTGGCATATCAAGATGATACCGGAGATAGGGCTTGGGCATGCCACCCCTTACTCTTAAGGTGTACCCAGGAAGGATGGGTGGCAGCTGCAGCAGCATGGATGGCATATGTATATCCTGGCCTTGTAAAGTCTCATCTTCCAGCTAGACTACTCTCCGCAGAGGCCTTGACCCCAAGGAGCTGAGTGTCCCTGACTGCCCCTATCTCCCTGTCCAGAGTTCCACGGGCTGGATGAGGCAACCTTACTACGGGCTCTGCAGGC